ATATATATATATATAATTATTCTTGTTTATGTTTTCATTCCATTACAACAAATTGAGAGTTAAAGATGAATTAATGTTTAAAAATAAGTTATTAGGTATAATTGTTTTATCTCATTGTCATTTATTCATCAAAGATCTATAATTTGAATCATAAATTTTAATTTATTTTTTATTATATACTTATTTAATTATTTAAGTTTGAACATATTGTATAAAAACACAACTTGTTGGTCATCTAGAATGAAAAAGAAACAAATAAGTTGAAATTGATATTGATTCTCGAAAATGTTCTTTTGATAAAAAAAATTGTTAAACATCTTATAATTTTTCTTTAAAATGATGCAAATCTAAATAATTTAGACTCCAAAGCTAAAAATTGAAAATGAAGAACTATATAAGAATAATAAAGAGTCTAATATTTTAGTTAAAAATGGTGAAAATGATTAGATGATGACATTGAATATTTTAATAAAAAAATAATATATTTATATTAGACAAACCTAATTAGTATAATTCATTAGACATTTATGATCTAATTACACAAAATAATCTTTGAATTGATTTACAAGATAAATTACTAATTAGTAAAGTTTTTTTACACCGACAACCAATCATATCTTTTAATAGTGTCATGTCACTATTAAAAGTAAATGATATGACACTATTAAGGTACATAATTAGTCGCTAATATAAAAAAATTTTACACTACTAGTATATAGGTAATTAACTCTTTGAGATATATATCCTTTTGCTCCCCATTTAACACACACTTCCTCCTCCTCCTCCTCCACCACCACATCCTCCCCCTCCCCCTCCACCACCACCACCACCACAAGCTCCTCCTCCACCCGCACTCACACCAGTCTCCCCAATAATCCCACCCATCATTCCATCACCACCCACACCAACAGCGGTGTCCCCAATAATCCCACCCATCACCATTCCCCCGTCAAAATGACGGTGGCTGTCGTGGCCAAAACCACCGCCGCCGCCACCGCTTCCAAACGCTTCCCTTCCTGCAGCCACTCGGCACAATATTGTCAACGTTGTAAATACGGTGAGCGTGCAGACAATTGCTATGATAGCTATTACGAATGGTTCCATCTCTCAAATTCAATGTCAAACAAAGTGCTTCTTCCTAAATCCTCCGTCTTGCAGTTTTTATAGTACTCGCCGTCGACTGCACCATATAAGGTTGACTCTGTCGTCTGTTTACTTTGTCTTTGCCACAACTACTTCGCATGTTATGTTACTTTTTGTGCAAAATACGTAACAGAGCATGTCACCTTATTACGCGCTGTTCATACCCTATCGGATTGACGAATATATGATGATCAATATTGACCGAGATTCCGTCTTTGGAAAAACTTTACTGATATATTATGGGATTGCTACCGATTGAATAAATTTTTTTAAAAGTATTTTTAAGAGTAAAATAAAAAAAAATTAAATAAAATATATGTGTAAACTATTATGCATAAATTATTTTATAAAAATTATATTTTATTAAATTTTCAAAATTTCAATTTTAATTTATGTGTAAACTATTTTTAATTTAAGAAAAAATTATTTTAAATTTTCCTCTTATTTTTCTCTCTTACAAATATTTCTAGATAAACTTAATTAATTAGTTGCATGTCATTGAAGCATGCCGTGATGCAAACAATGCAAGCAGGATTGTGCTTCCCTGAGAAGCTCTCCTTGGATGGAATAAGCATGGTTGTGCGTCCTTTACCATAGTCGTGCAAGAAAAAAAACACGTCCTAAACCAGGAGATACATATTGCCCATGCTGAATACACAACCATGTTACCAAATATGCACGATCATTAGGCGTGTGCAAAAAATCTAAATTAATCCGAACCGATCTGATCCATATTGAAAAATTCGATCCATTTTGAAAAAAAATCCGAACTAAACTACTTTATAAAACCGGTTCAGTTATCCGATCCATTTTTACAAAGTAGATCGGTTCGGTTCGGTTTGGTTTTCTAAAAAAACCGATCCATATATGAGTAAAAAAGTGGATAATTGCACTGCACCGAACCGATCCAATTTCAAAAAAACCGATCCATATTTTAAAAAAATCAAACTGATCCACTTTATAATAAATGGATCAGTTAACCGATCCACTTTTATAAAACGGTTCGGTTCGGTTTGGATCAGTTTTTTCAAAAAATCGATCCATGAACACCCCTAACGATCATCCTTACACGGTCGTCCAATTTTTCCCCCCCTTATAAATAAAGGCTTTATAGGAATATAGATCATCTTGGTTTTAGTTTCAGTTTCAATATTCTCTTTTCTCTCTAAGTTAATTGGTTATCAAATGAAATTCTTTCAATATTCTCTTTTCTCTCTAAGTTAATTGGTTATCAAATGAAATTCTTTCAATATTCTCTTTTCTCTCTAAGTTAATTGGTTAGCAAATGAAATTCTGTAAGAGGTTGAGAGCAATCTATGAAGAAGGACTGTAATATCCCTTAGTTTTAATATGTTTTAGTGACTCTGCTCTATAAGATTTCACATGCTGATATTTTACACAACTTTTCATTAGTTACAATCTTTCACTAGTAAGAATCTTATGTAGGTAGTCCTTTTTGAGATATCTAATCACCATTGAGATCAATGACTATCTCCACAAGTTAATATAAAACTTTTTAGTGTGTTTTATCTTCACCTGCAGCATTCTGAAAAATGTTATAAAAGATCACTTGTCCTTAAATTGTTTCAAATCAAACACGTTTAATTGTGAAGTTATTATGTGATGAACTACCAAAATATATGTATCTTATTAGTATAGGTAATACAAATTAATTCCTTTGAGTCATTCCCAACTACACAATCTTATATTTATACAAATCTTCCTCTTCTTTTGGTGTGTTCAGGCAGGCTGTTACAAGGATTCTTTCCCTCTAGTTTTTTTCTTCTCTTGTTTTTATGAATTTTAATGAGGTGTTAGGATTCTCAGTTGTGTCATATTTAACTAAATTATCTATTTTAGGTTGTGATGTAGTTTTACTTTGTGAACCCCACTTTTAAGTTGAATGAGTTTTTTTTTTTTTTTTGTGATTGTTGGATTATTTTTAAACTTGAATATATACTATTAGTTGATTAAGAGTGCATGATCAATCTTTGTTAATTAACAAAACTCTAAAATAAACAAGCTTGAGAACTTGCATAGTCAAACCAAATTTTAAGTTTTCAATTAGATTAATTATTTAATCAAATTCTCTTTTTTGTCTTTCCTTGTAGAAATTCTATATGATTGATTTAGGATTTTTACAAAATAAACACTACTAATTTTAATGAACAAAAGTTATAAACAATTTAAGAAGTAAAATTGTCAACAAGAGTTAGAATTCATGCAATTTACATTGAGGATATTTTACACACACATCTTTTTTAACTCTAATGTTTTAGTTCTCAAATTTTATGTTCATCTTATTTTTTAATCAACTTTAATTTAAATGATCTCTACCACATTTTCACCAATCAATCTAAAGTCTTTACATAGTTAAAAATTGTGATTAAACTTGTAATTACTTGAGTGTAGTTTTCTTAGTATGATATTTGAATTCTGTCTATTGTTATTACTACTATAAAATATGTTTATCTTTAAACATATTTTATATGCAACAATAACATAAGTTTATAATGATTTAAATTAATTAATTAATTGATAGTCATAATATATTCATATATATTTCATAACTCGACCTATAAAAACATCTATTATGATTTAGAGCTTCACTATATGGATGTAAAGATCGTCTTTTTAAAAGGTGACTTAGAAAGAAGAGATTTATATGAACCAACTTAAAGGGTATGTTTCTATAGGAAAGGAAAAATATGGTGTGTAAATTAAAGAAGTCAATATATGGACTAAAACAGGCTTCCAGACAATGGTATCTTTAAAGTTAATAATACCATTACATCGTATGATTTTGTAGAGAACATTATTGATCAGTGCATGTATATGAAGATTAGTGGGAGTAGGTTTGTAATTTTAGTCTTATATGTTGACGATATTTTGCTTGTTGCTAATGATGTTGTTATGTTACACAATATAAAGAAATATCTCTCTAATAAATTTGAAATGAAAGATAAGGGTGAGACATCTAATGTGATAGGAATAGAAATATTTCGTAATAAATCACAAAGAGTGTTGGGATTGTCTTAGAAAGGATATATTAATAACACTACAAGAAAAACACAAATTTCTGACGGATACAAATCTGTCGAAAAATATAAATTTTTTGACGAAAATTTTCCGACGGAAAAATCCGACGGAAAAATTTCTGTTGGAAATTAGTGACAGATTTTTCCATCGGAAAATTTATATTTTTAATGAAAAAAAATTCTTAGGAAAAATTATATTACTGATAGAATATTTTCGACAAATTTATATTTGTCGAAAATGTAAGAATTTATTTACAAAAATTGACAATAATATATTAAAAATAATAATAATATTTTAAATATATATGTGTGTGTGTGTGTGTATGAGGAGGGTTATAATAACACCGGTATAATTTTTGCTAAGTATTACACCGGTCAATAACTTTGTATTAAATGAGAATTTTGTAAATCCAACCGTTAAATTGAAAATTCTTTACTCTTAAATCATATATACAAAATTTTATATTAATCGAAGATGATTTCTTATAAAACAAAATTAATGTAATATATACATTTCAAAATATATAAAATATGAACATTTTGATTACCTTGACATTGTTATTCAATTTTAACAAAATTTCATATAAACATATAAAGTGATATGAACTTTTAATCAAACGGTTTGATTTACAAAATTCATATTTAATATAAATTTATTAAGCGATATGTAATACTTAATAAAGGTTACACCAGTATTATTATTATTATTATTATATATATATATATATATATATATAGAGAGAGAGAGAGAGAGAGAGAGAGAGA